CAGGTATTACTTTCCTGAGCTCAGGTATTACAATGCTTCAGGTATTACAATCCTTTGCTATTACTTTCCTGGGCTTCAGGTATTCAAAATCTACAGTACTCTGAACTGGAAGTGTTCACTGAGACATAAACCACTGCTGGAAATTTCATGGTCAACCAGTAACAGACAAATGAAAGCTTAAAAAGCTATGAATGCTAAAATATATAAATTAATCAAGGAGTATATATTTGAAACTAACATCTGATATTCTAATAAGATTAATAATTTAAACAATTAATATTTTTTAGAAACAAACTTGATATTATTAATTGCAATTAATTAATAATGGCAAGTTTGATTCTAAAAAATAACTACCAATAAGTAACTCTTCAGCTTTAAACTAGATGCATATTACTTCCAATTTTACAAGTTTGTTCAAAGACATTCATCATGATCCTGGTGATATGAGAGTACAAAATGTCAATTATTAAGACATCTTGGCAAAAGTTTCAAAGTTCTGTCTGATTTAAAGCCACTTCATATGCACTAAAAAAAATAACTATCACAAATTTAATGATCAACGTCATCAACTACTACTGCAACAAAAATACCAAAATTATAGATTTAACAAATGATGTCTCTCTAATTTAATTGTATTTTTACAAGTGATGAGAATGGGTTGCTTAGAAAGGCTTTAAATACTGACCACTATCAAATCCAGAGGAGCCCAGGTTTCCTAGTGTTGTACTACCACCTGAGAAGAAAGAGGAGAAAAGAAATTTAAAATTAATCCATCGAAGAAATTGCTCTTCACTGAAACTTGTTAATATTGGTGCACACTATATGTAAAACACCCATGTTTGCATAGATTACTCCTTCAAAAGAAAAATTATTCATGTTTCATGATGGATACCATCTTTTCCATAGTTTCCAAAGCTGTTGTTGGGAGGGGGGGGGGAGAAAAGTCCACTGTAAGAATAAAGTATTTATCTAAATGCTGAACTAGCTTTTTGATGCCCATGTTATAAAATTTGGTGCTGTGAAGGTGAATTTTATAATCAATAGCTTCTTATGATTGCATTTCCCCCCCTGCTATTTGTAAATAGATCCAACTTTTTATAGAAATTATAGATCATTTCAATTCTATTGAAAAGTAAAACAATGTTTGGATTTTCCCATGCTTTTGAAATGAACCACTTTTATTTACACTACTTATACTACATACACTACTTAGTCACATTTTTAAAGGGATTTTCTTTATTTTAGAAAGGATTGAGTTTTTGTATCTCATTTGTTTTAATTCCTAATGATTAATAACTAAAATGGCATCACCAATTAAATTAATAATTCACAAATATTTACGAAAAAATTCAGTAACAAGAGTAACTGAAAATCCATTAAATACCAATGATGGAACAATGACTAAATAAAAACATTTTGCTAATACATAGAGTACTGCTGAAAACAAATTTAGAAAGTGAGAAATACAATTTCTATGAGCTGTAAATAGTTTAAAACATATCATGATTTGATTCAATACACATATATTGATACTTGTAACTGAAGTTCCAGGATTTTCAGAAAAGATTTCAAGTACATAAAGAACTTAACTGAAAATATAATTTTTTTTCATATACTATTTCATATACATAATATATATATATTTCATATATCATCATTATGAAACAAATATAATATCAAAAAGATTTCATTTTAAGTCTTAAAAACATATGGGAGTAAAACTGAAATAATTAAATTTTTAATTTTACATACTGTAAATACAAAACAAAAGTAACCAACTTAAATACACCACATAAAAAAAGAGGCAGTATTTTAATTCTATATATTTGGAGAAATCTATATTTTTCAATTTAAATATCTTAAAATAAAAAAAAGAAATTCTTTAATTGATGAACACCCCAATCGGTGATTAAGGCTATCATACAAAATGAATTATTTTTTGGCGATATAATTAGCAATATTAATGTTGTACTTTGTTATAATAAAGGTAGTTTTATGTTATAGCGGCCATGCTAAATGGAAATTACCAAACACAAACTACATAACATTAAAAAAGAGAAGGGGGGGGGAATTGAAAGGTTTCAGATTTTAAATTACATCCAAAGGGGTGTTTTTTTAACGTTTTGTGTGTTACCTTTATTGAGTAAATATTATATTCTTTGAACTTAAACCATAAAATTCAGTTTAACAGCAATGTCTCAAAATAATTTTAAAATAAGCATATCTTTAGAATTTCCAATATGCAGTTCCGTGCGCTGGAGATAAAAAGATTCCTCCCACCCGTAGAGTGTTGCCATTGCTTGCTTTTAAATCATTGAGTTGTTACTCAAAAATTCGTTAAAGTTTTACAAAATAGGAAATCGATAATAAAAATTCCAAATTTCAAATTTGGTTTTTTACATGCCCATATTCGTAGGAGGATTACATCATTCAAAATTCGATGGCTCTATGTACCGTTGGTTTTATCACAATGCGAGAAATATACATACAGATTTTTCATTATTTGATTTCTTCAAATATAATGCAGGACTCTAACATTTGGTGGCAACAGTCTGAAAAGTGATTCAACACAAAATCGCAAAACAAAAATAATAGTCCTTCAGGGACCTTTTGGACTAAAAAGAGAGGGGGGACAGAAAATGCATGACAGTAACAAACACATTACAGGAAAAAAGTAAAATGTAATAAAATTTACTTTGCATTTTATATCTTACATGTGATTCTTCACTATTTCTTGCATGTAGTTTTTGGAAGCTATACATTGTTAATCACCAACTGCTATTGATATGACTTCAAAAGCATTTTCATTTCCTAGACACTGGCACTATATAAATTATACTAGGTTATGACTACCCATATGTAACTACCTTTTTTCAAGAAAAAGACATTTTACTTTGACAAACTATTAAAAATTATCATTAAATGCACCTATATATCAATAAGTAAAACTGTTTGGAGAAGCAAGATCAAATGTTGCTGGAAGAAGAGCCATATATACTGAAACTGATTTTTGGCTACCATTTTTAACAGCACTTCAGTTTATTTACTTTTGGACAGAAGAACTCGCATCCATTAAATGGTATTAGAAGCAGTTAAAAAAGCATGAAACAAGTGATGACTGGAATATTTATGTTGCCTGTGTAAGGATGAAGTCATTGGATTTCAGTCAACAATCAACTTTGATTTGTGAAAGTGGCAAACGTTTTCATGGTGGCTATCACAACATAAAATGACCATCATAAATATTAAACTACTTACAATTAATTAGTTTCTATTATTTCAAAAATCACTCACAGAGAAAAAAAAAGCCCCCATATGTATGGAAAGGTTTGACAGGCTGACTTATATACAATTTCCTTGATTTTTGCTTCTTGATATTATGTGAATGAAAATTCAGAATACTAGTATGAAAAAATTTACTCCTTTCACTAATTAATGAAATTAAAAAACACAAATTTAAGTACTGTAAATGATAATACTTAAGATGAAGTTTGAGAGTATTCTTATAAAAAGTAATACTCATAACATACTTTTTGTTTCTATACTTGGAGGGGGGGACCAAAACATTGCTTTTTGAACTGAATTTGTATAAACAGGTAAAAGTTGGAAAGAAAAAAAAAAAAAAAAAAAAAAAAAAAAAAAGCCAGGCCATGGTGGAATATCAAAAAAAGTGCAAATAAAAACTTTTCTTCTGAGAAAAATATATAAAAACTGATTAAATAATGAAACATAATTAAAAACTAGTTTTACATCTCTGTCCCTTAAAAATTTCAAAAATCATTCTTTTCAATATCAACACTCTAATAACATTAAAAAAAAAGATACAAAATTATCTTGTAAGTAGGTTCTAGAAAGGATATATACCTTCTTTTCTTATATATTACCTGGTAATTGCTGTGAACGACCAAATACATTAGTAATTGCTTTGCCTACAGCACTCTGCACAGCAGCAAATGGAGAAGGGCCATATGTAACAGAAGAAAGAAGCTGCGTATTTACTGCATTATCTCGCAAGCTGTCCTTGCGATTTTGCAACAAATTTCTGATATCACCATGATTCAGTCTTTGATTGTTGATAAAATGTTCTTTATATACCTAAAAAACATTAAGCATAACATGAAATACATATTTATTTAAAAATTTTTAAATACAAAATTGTTAATCATCAAATTAAATACCCCACCTCCAAAAAAAACTTGACATTCTGATTTATGTAAAACACTGAATATATACACACTGTATCCACAGAAGTCCTTATGTGACTTTTATTTTTGATAACAATGGTCATAGATGTACACTTCAAATTACAAAATAAATGAATACAATAAAAGTAATTTTGGGGAGGATTATGAAATTAAAATTTTTATGCCCCTGATCCCAATAGTTATGTTTAGAAAAATTTTATACTCGTTATGAAAAATAAAACACAGAAAGTTTTATGCCCTGATGACGAAAATTGATTGAGATATTTAATTTTAAAATTTTGAATTTGTGATGTCTTTTTCTATTTGCCTTGGGGGTAATATACATATATATCAGAATAATTCAAAGCCAATTTTTCCCCCTTGCATGTCATTCAATGATGCCTTCCAAGATTTATTAATGTGTAACATTTTTTAATTTATAACCTTTTATAATACTAAAAGAATTGTTCATTTAAGTAATTTATAAGTTTACAAACACTAAAAATTCATTTATTTATTTAGAATCATACTTTAATAATCACACAGAACATTCATTAAACTAAAAATATTTTTCATTTTAAATTTATCAGTTGGCTATGTGTCAATACTTAAGCCTACCTGTGTTTTTTAGAGTATGAACTCTATAAGGTTTTGTACATTTTTTTTTTTTTTTTTTTCAAAATTCCATACTGATCAATACTTTTTATGACAATCTAAGAATAAAATGCTTTCCAGTTAGTCTATTAACAATACAAGCTTTTTTTTTTCCTAAATTGATATATTTTTTAGTTACATACAAATGCAAACAATTTACTCTATAATTTGCATATGTGCCCTGAATATGAATATTTTGACCAATTTTTAATTTTTATGGTACTTTTTGTAACAAACTTTTTATAGTGAATATAATTTTTTTCTAAATAAAACTATACAGACCAAAAGACAATATGAAAAAATTAATTTTGTAATTTGTGAATAAATTTTTTCTAAATATAATTATAGAGACCAAAAGGCAATATGAAAAAATAAATTTTGTAATTTTTAGAATACTGAGTTTTCCTCTTTAATATAAAAATGCCAAAACATGAATATTTACATTACTTAAAAGATTTCTGTATTTGTAATGATCCATTGTGAAACAAAGGCTACATCAGAACATAGTATACACAAAAAATGCATATATATAAAATATTACAACTAAAACTGATTAGTATGCATTCATACTAGTTATACTTAATTTATAATATCCCATTTCATAACTCGGAATTAATTTTTTTGAAATTAGGAAGCATATTGCACTAGAAGGAAAAGTAAAATTGCCCAAATTCATCTACTGAATGCAAAAACATCATCCCTGGTGGCAGCAGCTTAAATTAATACTATACTACCTTGCTAATTAATTATATATGAATTTTATTACACAAAGAAATTATAGTAATTTTTTATGGGTTTAACACTTAAGGGTGACTATTTTATTACTTGTTTTTGTTTGTTTTACAATATTACAGTGCATTCAAGCAAATTATCATACTAAGTGCAATGATTCCTGTAATAATCACACATCTCCTTCTGTGCTTATAGGCAACTGTGTATAGTCTCTATGCAGGATCAAAAAAAAATTTCAGATTTTCACATAATGTCATACAGACCAAGCCTACGTAAAAATTACAATAATGTTTGAAGCATACTATTTCCATACATGACAAATATTTAAAAAAAAAAAAAAAAAAAAAGAAAAAAGATCAGTAATTTTACATGAAAATTGTTAAACGGTCAGATACAGTGCATTTAAATTGAGTGATTAAAATGGTCAAAAAAGTTTAATTTAACAAACAAATCACAGCATTTGGCTTCATATTTCTAAAGCACTTTACGATGAGATTCATTAGGAGCAGACACAACAAAAATGCAAATAAAAATCAGAAAGAACTTCTTAAAAAAAAAAGTAACTCAATCCTCAAATAAATATCAGAATCATGTCTAACTTTTTAGGGTCATGAATGAACTTAGCTTGAAAAATTAAATTCCTCGCTAAAATGGATACTAACGAGTTCAAGTTGTCTTACTGGTTTCTGCAAAAATGAATGCAAATTTAATACTACTTGTGAAGTTGAACCCCCTTTCTCCATGAGCACAACCATGCTGACCTCATCCTCAAAAGACTTCAGAGTTTTTGGCATTACAATGAGAATAAATACATCAAAAAAATTAATTTCACTGAATACTAATGGTGGTACTGGTAATGTAAAATTTTCTGCATAATGAGGGAAAAAATTATGCATACTAGTATTATTAATTCTATATTTTGGCAATAAATGCTAGCTGAAATTGAGTCAAAGAGACAGAAAGTTTAATAAACCTCTATTACGTAATGAAATCGATTCAAAAACAGGAATTTTAAAAGTAACTGTGACTTACATTTCAGTTTGTTAAAAATCTGGATAGAAAATTATACAGATTTCAAAAGCACAAAGCAGTTGTACAGAATTCATGAAAGTTTACCTACTTAGAGTCACTAAGTTTTACAAGTACTAATAGTTATGCAAGTACAGGTCACAAACATGTTTAAGTATTCGAAAGAATATTTCACCATTATTCTATAATGGACTAGCAAATCATACATCTACTGAAATGAATCACTCTACAACTGAGAAGAAACACTAATTTATGGACAAAAATGACATTCATCATAAATCTGATATCACCCCAAATGAGTTTCTTCAGAATTAACATTACAGGTTTTATATCAACATTATTCTGTGCGATATTTGTTCAAAATTTAATAAGAAGCATTTTGTACGAAAAATAGTCGAAATAATAAACTTAATACTGAATGTAATACCAATTAATTTTCTTACATTCATTCTTCAGTTACTTCACAGCATGTGCAATGTAAAAAAAAAAAAAAAAAAATTACACCTTTCAAGTGAGTTACCCTTAATATTCCACAGTGTCACCAAAATAGGGAAGCAGAATATGATCAACAATCTCTCTACTAACACATGACAGATAAGCCCTCATAATAACTAGTTTTGAACCTATGTTGGAATCAATTACATTTAAATACCCTATACAATAAAAACTTAATCAAATTATCTACCTCTTGAACTTGTGCTGCTGCTAATTATAAACTTTGCTTATTGCACCCCATTGTCAACTCTACAGTTTGTCAATTTTCTTTTTTTTCTTCTGGGACAGCATATGTAAACAAATTTTGAAAATGGACCGAATATTTATCATCTTCAAACTGATCATAGACATACCATTGTCAACCCTACAGTTTGTCAATGGTATGTCTATGATCAATTTGAAGATGATAAATATTCGGTCCATTTTCAAATTTTGTTTACATATGCTGTCCCAGAAGAAAAGAAAGAAAATTCAAGATAAATTAATATTTGAACTTTAATTTGAGCAATGCATTGCATAAAATATATATACATATATTTCTACAATTTAAAATATAAGAAAATCAAATGAAATTTTTTAGATAAAAATTTAGCAAATCAATAAAAATAATTTGTTTTCCACGTCATGTCAAGTCCATTGCCTTGAGATTATTTTACCCCCAATTAGTTTGCAAATCTGCCTAAAAAGGGCAGTACATATTCAAAGTAGTCGAACTTAGCTTGATTGGTTTATCTATGTCACTGAATATGTAATGGCCCTTTTAGACAGATTTACAAACTAATTTTGGGTAAAATAATCTCGAGGTAACGGACCTGACATGAAGTGGAAGACAAATTATTTTTCTATTGATTTGCTAAAGAAAAAAACTTTTTTTATTAATTTTTATCATGACTATAACACACTAGTAGTTCATATTTAAAATAATTAAACTTCTTTATTTAAAAAATAAATTAGGTTACAAAACAGAGAGATTGAATAACATAAAAACTTGAAAGAGACATGCATTTTTGCCTACGATCACATTTTTTAAGATTTATATGTAACAAATTTCATTTTTTAAATATTTTAAATTGTAGAAATATATTTATAGTCATCTTTATGCAATGCATTGCTCAAATTAAACTTTATATATAATTTATCTCGAATTTTCTTTTGGGCAGCATATGTAAGCAAAATTTGAAAATTGGCCATTCATTAATTTTCTTTCACATTTATTGCTTCATTATAAAAATTTCTTTTTCAATTGCATTGACTGTATACCACTTTAATCTTGTACTGATATCAGTTCTATATTATACTAATCCTATAAACGTGATATTGAAAATGAGTGTCATCTAAGAAAGCAGCTGAGGTTAAAACAAATAGATTTTTAACTAGCACTAGGAAAAAAAATGACTGTTGATTTTAGTAACTTCTAAGAAGTTAAATCCTATTTATGAATACTAATAAAATATGTGTAAAATTTTCACTAAAGGAAATCTTACTCAAGATCTGGAATAAAAAAGCTATATATATGAAAAATATTGTATTTGTGATATATAAATTACCTGGACTTCTTGATGAATTGTTTGTAACTGTGCAGCTAACGTCACAAATACATCATGCAACCGCCGTCTAATCGCAGTCCATTCTAAATAGAAATAAAACCAAGCATCTGCAATAATCCTACACAAAATAAGTTAATAAAATTTATATCCAATGAAAAAAGCAAATACCACATTTTAAATAAATCTGCAGTAATATTATAGTTACCTAAATAAAACTTTTAGCTGCATTTAATAACCTTCCTTACACAGAAATTACACAATATGAATTATCTACAATGCAAGTTAACATAAAAAATTCTATTTATAATAAATAATAGTTTATACACAATATTTTACAGAAGAGGGGAATCAAAGCTTATTAATTTCACACAAGCTAAATATAAGCACATCTGTTAAGTGCATACACTTATTGGATAAATAAAATTAAACATACAAAGTCTTTAATTAACTGTCTCGCTGCATATTTTTTTTTTTATCAAAATAGGTTCAAAAATTGCTAACTTTTTTTTATTACTTATATGAAATTTACATACATTTTGGAGTTAAACTATACAAATTTTTTTAAAAAAGAGTTTTTTTTTTCAATATAGAATTAGATTAAAAAAAGGGGTGTCGGAAAATTGAAATTGAAGAATAATCGTATAAAAGCAAAATTTGGAAAATTAACCTTGGTTAAATTATGATTTATTTTATGAAATTCAAAGTAAAATGTATATGCTAATTAAAATATACAAAATATTTACAAAACATTAGTATGACAAACTTCAAAACAAGGCTCGAGGCAAAGTCCTACGTTGCAATATTTGCACCAAATTCATGTTTCTTTGTGAATTTTTTGCCAGTTTTAGTTTTATTTGAGCAACAAAACAGTTAGTCTCACGGAAGTGACAGTTGAACTACACCTGCCAGGGTAAACACTGGAATTTCCATCTGAATATTTTTGAATGCTTTTCTCAATAATTTGCAAACTGAACTCTAAAATGTTATATTTTACAATGGGTTATCCTTTTTATAAAGGATATAAGCATTTCACAGCGATTGTCAAGAAAAGGAAATGAAGTAGGAACTGGTAGAATATTTTGCGTATCAATTTTGCACTACCGTCAAACACTTTGAATAGAAAGTGAATCTTTATATTCATCACTATCTGCAGAGGAATCAGAGAAATTCTCATCAGTTTCACTACAACTATCTCCAGTATACTAATTCAGAAGTCAAACAACAAAAATCAGCGTTATATTTACAAAATTTTCACAGGACTAGTTTCGATGGTTTTACCGAACCACCATCTTCAGCTGCAAAACCGCAAATGAACAAGATAGGAAATAATGATTAGATAAGATAAGAAAGCCTGGACAAGAATAAGCAAGTGGCGCCATCTGTTGGTGAAACCAGAACTAAAACATAATTTCTTTAAAGGCCGAAGGCAAATTTGGATTGGAATTAGGATCATTAACTAGAACAGAAAGATTTTTATGAATGTGAAATGCCTCTAGAAAATCCAGTTCTCCAATGGAAGATGTTTTTTGAATAATTTTGGCAGCAGAAAAATTGAAAGTGTGATTTTCGGACCAACAATTGGCAGCAGAAAACTGAAAGTGCTGCCAAAATTATTCAAAAAACATCTTCCATTGGAGAACTGGATTTTCTAGAGGCATTTCACATTCATAAAAATCTTTCTGTTCTAGTTAATGATCCTAATTCCAATCCAAATTTGCCTTCGGCCTTTAAAGAAATTATGTTTTAGTTCTGGTTTCACCAACAGATGGCGCCACTTGCTTATTCTTGTCCAGGCTTTCTTATCTTATCTAATCATTATTTCCTATCTTGTTCATTTGCGGTTTTGCAGCTGAAGATGGTGGTTCGGTAAAACCATCGAAACTAGTCCTGTGAAAATTTTGTAAATATAACGCTGATTTTTGTTGTTTGACTTCTGAATTAGTATTTATTCGGCGTGTTATTGTGTCTTAATTATCTCCAGTATACTTAAAATTGAAGTCAGAATTGCTATCACTGTCGGAAATATTGTCAGAAATGTAGGTTATATCATTCGCAAAATGTTTCCTGCCAGACATCTTTGAGCTTTGAAAACAGCGAGCAAAATGATGCAAAAGATGCTTGTATATTTTGCAGAAATATGGACAACTAATGCCATCTGTTAACCCAGATCTGAATAAACAATTAAACATCCCAGAAAAGCCGAAATAAAACCATGTACGAGAAAAGAGTGGGTTGCACAATTAAACGGACGAACAAATGCATCCCTGTTGAAATCACAGGTTGTGCAAATTTTGCTACTTCTACGCTGCCGACGGAAATCGCGACATGTGCAGCGAGAGGGTTAAGTACATAGGACCAAAAATGTTTAGCATTAACTCAGCCACAAAAGCTCATACTGAAATAAATAATAATAATAAAATAATGCTTAACAAACCATTTGGAGTTAGTGTATATGGCTGTGACAATGATAACAGTTGTCTTTCAAGCTGTTCAATTTGTTGCCTGTAAGACTGCATCTGCTTTTCAAAGGAATTAGCCAGATTATGAAAATACCTACAATGTCGAAATAAAAAATACATAAATAAATAATGTATAAATAATGTATATGCACTTTTCAGACCAATCCATATAAACTGCTCAAAACAATTAAAGGATATTGTAAGTTTTATATAACATAAAGATATAAGAGAAATTTTTTTTTTGCTGAAAATGGAAGAAGAGAATCACAAATGCAAATTTTTCTGATTTTCAAACTGTGGAGTATGCTAATTTTGAGTTCGACGTCAAAAATGTCGCTTCAGTGGCAACGAATGAAATTTGACTTTTAACTGAATAAAAGACAATGAAGACAAGGGTGATCGGCATTCAGTGACTGCTTTGTTTCCGATGAGTACGATGTTTCAGCGAAGTCATTTAACCGATTCAGAAGCTTGGAGAGTTGTTGGTAGGTTAGAAGGGGAGGGGCAAACTGAAGCCGAAGTAGCACAAGCCATTGGAGTGTCACAAAGTGTGATTTTCAGGATCTGGAACCGTTTTTTGGAAACTGGAAGTGCAGGCCGAAGACCAAGGCAAGGTCGTAGACGGGCAACAACGCCCAATGAAGATCGATATTTAGTGTTAATGGCTCGGAGACACTGAAATAAATGCTACTCTTCTCCAACAACACCTTCCGCTCGGCTACTGGCACCACGGTTTCAACTCAGACTGTCCGAAACCAGCTCCATGGTGTAAGTCTCTATGCTCGCCGACCGATGGTATGTGTTAGACTAACATCAAGGCATAGTCGCGACCGCAGGGAGTGGGCAACAGAGCATGTGAACTGGAGGAGAAATGAATGGAGCAATGTTCTTTTTTCTGACGAATCCCGTTTTTCTGTTCATCCTGATAATAGTGCATATTTTCATCTGGAGGGGCCATGACAGAAAGAATAATCCTGCGTTCATGCAGGAAAGTGTCAGATTTGGCAGTGGGGAAGTGTTGGTGTATAGTGTCATCTCCATTGACGGGCGTACAGACCTCTACATCAGTCGAGATGGACCTCTGACTGGTCGCCGATATAGGGATTAGATCCTCAGACCTATTGTAGTCCCTTACGCTGCAGCAATCGGAGATGACTTCATTTTAATGGACGATAACTGCAGGCGACATCGTGCTAACCTGGTGGAGGATTTCCCTTTCGAGGAAGGAATCGTACAAATGGAATGGCCAGCGTGTTCTCCAGACATGAATCCAATAGAGCACGTTTGGGACGCTCTAGGAAGACGAGTTGCTGGCCGCCAACCACCCCCACAAACTCTCCAAGAACTGGAAAGAGCTCTCCTGGAAGAGTGGGACAGAATACCCCAACTCGTGATTAATAGCCTCATTGACTCCATGCCTCAAAGGTGTTCAACGTTGCTGGCCGTCCGTGGAAACCATACCCCCCTACTGAAAATGATTTCCTTTGAAGAAAACACCTTTTCTTATTCTTTTTTTTCTCATATGCACTAATTGTGTTTTTTTCCTTTTGCACATAAATGCGCAATAAAATGCATTTTTTTCTGCCAAACATGTGTAATTTATTTTCATATAACCTACAACGTCTGTCGACCATGTATCAATCAGCTAAAAAGTTTCCCAGCCACAAGATCCACCTAAAACCGCAATATCCTTTAATTGTTTTGAGCAGTGTATTTAAACATATCATTTCTGTAATAAAAACATACTCAGTTGGAGCATTATTTTCATATTGTAGTGAAGAAGGAGAATCTTTAGTCCTCTGTGCAATTTCTGCATTCTTTAATTCCTGTAATAATGATATAAAAATAATTTTATAACAGAATGAATGATAACAGTATGAATGATAAATACAATAAAGCATATTATTCAGTAGATTTTTTGCCCTTACTTACGAGGGCTATCCAGAAAGTAGATTACGTTTTGGAATAAAAAAATAAACAAAGTATAGGAAACAAATTTTATTATATACAGATGAAAGCCACACTCAAATACTACTTTTCTACATAGTCACCATACAAATTAAGGCATTTATCGTAGCGATGTACGAGCTTGGAAATTCCTTCGTCGAAAAATTCGGCCGCCTGCGCCTTCAACCACTTCGTTACCTCTTCTTGCAGCTGTGCGTCGTCATCAAAACGCTGCATAGCCAGCCACTTCTTCATTGCTGGGAATAGGTGGAAGTCGCTCGGTGCCAGGTCGGGACTGTACGGCGGATGAGGAAACAACTCCCACTTAAAAGATTCAAGAACTTTACGAGTGACATTTGCCGTGTGGGGCCGGGCGTTGTCGTGAATCAACAAGATCTTAGAGCTCAACATTCCTCTGCGCTTGTTTTGAATTGCTCTTCTGAGTTTTTGGAGAGTTTGGCAATACCTTTGAGAGTTTATTGTAGTGCCTCTTTCCAGGAAGTCCACCAAAATTACACCTTTTCTGTCCCAAAAAACAGTCGCCATCATCTTCCTTGCCGACATTGTTTGCATGCATTTCTTGGGTTTTTGGGGAGAACTTGTGTGCCCCCACTGCATTGATTGCAATTTCGTTTCACAGTTCACATGTTTCACCCATGTTTCGTCACCAGTAACGATGCGATCGAGTAAAGAGTCACCATCCTTATGGTAAGCGTCCAAAAAGTTCAACGCTGCAGCCATTCGCTGATTTTTGTGGTCCTCTGTCAAGATTTTTGGAATCCATCTTGCACAAAACTTGTGGTAACCAAGCTTTTCGCTGATGATTTCGTGCAACAAACTTCGCGAAATTTGTGGAAAACTCAAAGAAAGTTCCGTTATTGTGAAATTTCGATTTTCACGGACTTTAGCATCGACTTTTTCGAGAAGTTCGGCGGTCACTATGCTGGGTCTCCCACTTCGATCTTCGTCGTGAACATTGGTTCGGCCATTTTGAAATCTTATGACCCACTGACGCACTCCACCTTCAGTGATAATGTTGTCCCCATACACTTCACGAAGCTGCCGATAGATTTCTATCGGTTTACAGTTTTTTGCAGTCAGAAACCTTATTACTGAGCGCACCTCGCAGCTCGCGGGATTTTCAATTAACGCAGACATTTCAAACCGTCACAGTATCTGAACGGAGCACAGCACGAACCTCTCACTAGCACGGCTAGATGCAGACTGAGCTGCGCAACGCTCTGACCCCAAGATGGCCGCGCTAGCCCCGCCCCTAGCGGACACAGACGGAAACGTAATCTACTTCCTGGATGGCCCTCGTATTTATTTTGAAATTCAAAACCTATGTACATAGGAAATGACCCAAATGCCACTAAATCATATGAGATAAATGAACAAATGTCCAAAAGTAAACAGTGAAACCTCTCTTAAGATGACAGTCTGGTTTCAGATGATTTTGATTTTTTATGAACATGATCATTTTAAAATAGACCATTCTTTCTATAATGTTTAAAAACTTAAAAACATTTCAAAAATGGTAAAATTTAAAAAATGCACAGATGAAAAATTTTTGCTTTTACTGCTATTTTAATTTCATTCATCTATTTAAGTGATATATTTCAAATAATATGGCACAGAATATTTTTATGCTTTAAGGCAACACATGTTGGCTCCTCTCAAAATGTATAGTTTTTCAATAAAACTAATATGAATTATGTAAAAGAAATTATAGTTTTAATAATTATTCTTCACAAGAATGTTAAAAAAATACATTCCGGATTATTTTTCTTTTGCATTAAATTGAATAATACCACAAACATATTAAAAATAATCCATTAAATATCAAAACTAATTGTTATATTGGAAATGAAGGCATTTTACCAAAAAATGATAAGAAAATTTAAAATTATAAGCAAATTCAGAATATTTGCTCCCAGATTTATCATACCATATTTCTGTTTATAAATATAAACCAATGTGGAAACCTCATCTGCAGAATTCAAGATTTATAAAAATACAAAATGTAAATATTAAATACCTTATAATTTATAAAAATCTATTCATAAATGCTGGAAACATCTTATAAATATGTAACAGTGTATTTTACAAGATAAATTTTTACAACATATACATAATTAGATCTTTTTTAAAAAAATTTACTTGATTTGATTCTTCCTTCAGCTTTGCAATAGCTATTGCATTCCTTTGAAGACCATTTGAAACAACAGATAACTGCTGTCTAAGGGCAACTACTTGTTCCTGAACACGGAAAATATTTTTACTTGACACTCGACTCATCTCTTCACGGATGGCTTTTTGTTCTTTGACATACTTTCTGTTAAAAAGAAAAAAAAAAAGCTATTAAATCAATGTACATACAATACCAAATGCATGAATACTTTTAAAAGAAGCAAACAATAGTTGGGTATTAGGCAACACCAGCTGATACATTACCTATACTAGAATCCAGGATTTTATTTTCCCCTGAGAAATGCAACCCTCTAGAAGCAGTTCTGGGTACACTGCGGTGGGGGAGGGGAGAGAGAGTTGTATATCTCCCATTCTACTGGGCTGATTGATGAAATTCAAATTGTGTTTTTTATGTCTCAAAAGCACAACTTAGGATATATATTAGATTTTTATATAGCATCGTTCTAATACAGGTGTTTTGAACAAAATCGGACTTTTCCTGAAATGACAGGCCAATTTGTTTCCATATTTCAATTCTACGACTCAAATTATGCCTAAATACTAAATTTTGTAAAATTTGTCACAAAATTTACCAAGAAATTCAAAAATGTATCTTGGCTCATTTTTTCCAGTTTGCGCCAAGAATAATATACTCGGCGAACTTCTTAATTTATGGTAGCTTTCTTTTCTCTTTCCCTGTGCACAAGCGGGGAGGGGGAGGGAGAGAACACATCATTCATTCTTTCAAGTAATCTTAACAAAGATCGTGAACCACATTTGGCATAATTATTGCTCATGGCAAATATGCTAAATTTCAAAATGCGGCGATATGAAAGTTCATGTATATGTTAGGAAATTCTGAATAAAAAAATTCTAATTTTTTGCAGGTGAACTTAGAAATACATTATTTTAAGATGATGGTAAAATTTTTTATAGGTTATAATGCAGGAACTTTTTCGAAAAATGTATAAAAAATATTTTAAAATAAACATTTTACAAATAAATCACAAAAAAATGTGCAAATTATATTTGGATTAAGCCTAAATTTGGAATTCTGGAAGAAGGAATTGAGTAAGTTTAATAAAAAAAGAGATACTAATAAATGTATATCAAATTCAATTAACATCGAGGAGCTAAAATTTTGAGAGATAATTTTTTAAAAAACTACTTGTGCGATTTTTACAAAACTTGGCAGTTTGGAATAATTTGAGTCATAGAATCAAAGTATGGAAAAAAAACTGGAATGTCATTTCAGAAAACATCCGATTTTGTGTCAAAATATCTATATTAGAACAATGCTATATATAAATCCAATACGTATCCTAAGTGGTACTTTCGAGACATGAAAAACGCAAGTTGAATTTCGTCAATCGGCCCAGTAGAACAGGAGATATAGAACTGTCCAATTTTTAGTCCAAAGCAGCTTTGTCCCTGAAGGACAATTGTTTTCGTTTTGCAATTTTGCGTCGAATCACTCTGAATGTCCGTTTCACTTTTCAATCTGTATCCACCCAATATTATCGCCCTATATTATATTTGAAGAAATTAAATCAAGAAGAATCTGCATAAATGTATGTATGTTTCTCGCATTGTGATAAAACAACAGTATCTTACGAATATGGGCATCTGGAAGCCCAAATTTGAAATTTGCTTTATTATCGATTTCCTATATAGTAAAACTTTAATGAATGTTTGATTAACGAACTTAAGGATTTCAAAGAGGGCAATGGCAATGTTGCACAGAAAAAAATTTTTTATCTTCAGAGCGTGAGTCTCTGTATCGAAAATTCTGAAGATATGCTCATTTTAAAACTATTTTGCGATATTGCTCTTGAACTGAATTTTATGGTTTAAGTGTGAAGAACGTGATAATTAATAAATAAAGGTAACAGACAAAAATGTAAAAAAAAAAAAAAAACATATAATTTAAAATCCGAAACATTTCAGATTTTTTTTTATTTCCCCCCCCACACACACAGTGTACATTACGAGTTGTATCATTAGTGAAAGTAACATAACGAAATTTAAAAGTAAATAAATGAAGAAGTTCACCATAATAATTAGCACAAGTAAGTAGAAATGCATCATGGACTATGTTTTCAGCATGTGAAAGCTGTAATGGTCGGTCAAGAGACTTTGTGTCCAGAACAAGTCTTTTTATGTCTGTGACAGGAATAGTTGGAATTGAAGTTGTGTTGGTACTTTCTGATTATTTGCATCCAACAAAAAGTTGCCAACTTTGTAAATGGGTGAAAAGTGCTTTTATTGGCTATCTTTATAGGTACTGTTCTGCTCAATAATAATAAAAAGGAAGCATTTTCTAAGAAACAAAAAATTTTATTGGGGGGGAGGGATCTATGCGACCGATGCCAAACGTTTACAGTCAGTAACTATCGTTAAGTAAAATGACAGTTAAATATATAGCATACATGCACTTAAAACATATATGTGGTATGCATATACACAAATTCGCTATTATCATGCATATACTTGAAAATATGCCAAAATACAGTACTTTTCCCACATTTTGAATACTCATAAAGTAATGTTGCATCATTAACAAGATTGCTCCACAGAAAAATCTTGGAAGCTTTTAAGAAATTCACACTGAAAAGCGAATTAATGCAAGCAATAACTTTAGCCTCCAAAAAGTAAAATTCATTATTTTTATTCCAATGATGGAGAGTTATTGAAGATTTATTTATTGGAATGTTATTGAACATTTTGCATGGACATTGCATTGAACGATGGAAAGTTATTGAACATTTATTTAACCTATCATATTTACTCGCTTATCTTGAATTTTAAAAGATCTGCAAGTTTGTCCTCTAGATCAGTATTTCTCAACTGGATTTACTCCAAAGACTGGTAAAATATTTCGGTACGTTCTCGTGGACTGATAAGTTTAATAATTCGACCCACTCGCACAATTTTGTCGCCATTTTGGTTGCTATATGTTGTGTTTTCAGTTTGCTGTGCACATTCAAAATGTTTAAGACAATTAGTTCTCCCGCTGACTGTGAGATTCGTGCCGTGATTAAATTTTTGAACGCGAGGAATGTTAAACTGGCTGAAATTTATCGTCAAGTGACAGAAGTTTACGGTGAATACACGATATGTGATGGAATGGTGAGAAAGTGGGTAAGAATGTTTAATGCAGGTCGAACAAATGTCCACGCCGAGGCTCGGAGTGGTCGGCCTTCTGTGTTAACCGAGGATTTGGTAAGGAAAGTTGATGAAGCAATTCATGAGAACAGACGCTTCACAATGACAACTCTTTCAGAGGCATTTCCACAAATTTCACGTACTGTTTTGTTTGAAATTGTGTCTGATCGCTTGAATTATCACAAACTGTGTTCCTGGTGGGTTCCAAAAATGCTCACTGATGTTGACAAAACAAAGCGATTTGGTAGTGCCCTGACATTTCTCACGCGGTACAGTGATGAGGGAGAAAACTTTTTAAGCCAAATTGTGACAGGTGATGAAACTTGGGTGTGTCATTTCACACCAGAATCGAAACAACAATCGATGGAGTGGAGACACACTCATTCTCCGAAAAAACAAATGTTCAAAGTGACAATGTCATCACAAAAAATCATGTGTACTGTCTTCTGGGATATGAAAGGCGTTTTGCTTACTGAATTTCTTCCCAGAGGTGAAACCATTAATGCGGCACGATATTGTGAGACTTTAATAAAACTAAGGCGTGCCATTCAAAACAAACGAAGAGGAATGCTCAGTAAAGGAACTGTGTTGCTCCATGACAATGCTCGGCCCCATACTGCTGGTGTCACTCAATCGTTAATTCGACAGTTTCATTGGGAGCAGTTCGATCACCCGCCGTACAGCCCGGACTTGGCGCCGTCCGACTATCACTTGTTCCTGCACATGAAGCGCGAGCTTGGTGGCAAGCTCTTTGGATCTGACGATGACACAAAAAATGCTGCGGAGTCGTGGTTATCGAAACTGGCGGGAAGTTTCTTTGACGATGGTACACAAAAACTGGTCATCCGCTATGACAAGTGTTTGATCATTGGCGGAAACTATGTTGAAAAATAGTTTAAGACATGTATTTTCATGTAAAAATAAAATTGGATTCGAAAAAATTGTTTTACTCTTTTTTTTTTTTTTTTTTCAAAACGGTACTTAGTTTCCAAATACGCCTCGTAACATAACACTCTCTTCTGAAAAAGAGATAAAATTGAAATAATTGGAAATGAAATTACAGAAAAAAGAATCTTCTTAAAACCATCTAATGAAATTATGCAAAAATAAACAATACTGTACAGCTAAAAGAAAAGGAAGTTCATACAGAAAGAATATTATTCATTCAGAAAAAGATTTTATACAAAAGTAACGGATGCTTAATAGAACAGAAAATGCTAAAAATAATTGGGTTAAAAGCAACAACTAGGTAATTAAGCATAAAATTAGTCTAGGAAAATAAAATATACAATTAAATATTAGGTATACATACCTATCACAACTTAATACTTTAAAAGAAAGAAAAATTCTGACTTTATTGGATAAAAAATTTAATCAACAACAAAATTTATTTAAAATCATTACTATAGTCATTGATAATCATTATTAATATGATTTCTTATTCAACATTCATACAGATATAGCACTGCACATGTAGTTTTTATTATATACTGTGATTATATTTAATATATTTACATTGTGCAAATAGGTTTAAGTTCATAAAAAAAGTTCGCATAACATTCTACCCCCTCAGTAGACATGCAAATGAGATCTATTTTTCTCAATATTACCCTCTTTGGTATGTCAAAGCATTACCTTTTTCTTTTCTTTACTTTTTCTAAATAAAATAGTTTGGAACATAGCCTTTTTAGAAAATGAATTAACTATTTCATTTTTAACATTTCATGGCATAAAAGGAAAATTTTGTTCTAGTTAAAAATTGCTATGTTTCATTTAATAATTATTTATGCTGTATAAAATAAAGATACTTTTCCGTTTTGCCGGCGCAAATCTCGCCAGGTAGACTTTGTTGGCGACAACATACAGTATACACATAAAAAATGTTAACAAATGTTAGTTCTAAGAATTTTTTATTTTGAAAGCATAAACATTTTAATATGGTTTAAAATTTTGTAATAAGCCAATAAATTTGTAAAAAGACATTAATTAAGAATTTACTATGCTTTCATGGTTCAACATCCTGATTCGCCAGTGCATATCAGATGACCCCAAGTAATTTTATCTCACGTAAACTATGCTACAAAAATATAATTCTCTCAATAATTATCTACATTAATTTCAAGTTAAATTTTAATTTGGAATACAAGTTTAAATGCAAGAATTATTTCAATTCGTAGGAATAGCTTATTCAGAAATTATGTAAAACTGCAGTGCTTTACTTCGCTAGTGCATTCTCATTAGAATTGATAAATTTAACCCTTGATTTTGCCTTTTATATTTTCGCCTTCAGGTGAGCTGTGTGATTGCATCCTAATTGACTTAATTACCGTGAATGGTCTTAGTGCATAAAATTTAATTATCTTTGCAAATATTATATGTAATTGTATGCCAGTATTGAAAGAATCAATCTGGTAAGAAATGGCTGCGACTTGTTTTGAAAATGAAGCGTAAAAGGTTACCAGCAAAGATATTCCGCTTGACATCAGTTGTACCATTATTGGCAACTTGGCAAAACAGAAAAGTACCATTAAATATGGATTTAATCTGATACTTACTTTATTTGCCTACTTAAGAAAGATGTCTACCATTCATATCTATGAATTAATGTTCCATTCACTGATAAAAGTCTATTTAAATATTAATAATGTGTTATTTTGCTATTAAAATATATTTTTTTGATGTGTACTAAGGTATTGCAGCAGAAATACTATTTCAGTTTCCACAGAAGAACATAATTTTAAGGTCATTTGTACAGCTAACCCACTAAAAGTAAGCTATTACTTTCATAAAAAATAAAAGAGAAAGTAAAAATTGGACTCGAATGAGATAAAGCAATAACGACACAAATGAACAGTATACATAAAAAAAAAAAAAGTAGATAATACATTGCATAATAACATAAGAAGAAAATTTTATAACGGTAAAATTACTTACTTGAAAGATTCTACAGTAACAGATATCTCATTTGGAATTTGTGTTTCTTTTACAGCTTTGCCATCCCTAATTAAAAAAATTTACATAGAATTACATTTTACGTATTCATAATATATTGACATACCACTAAATACATTATGACGTCATATTAAATAAATGTGGCATACATACTTCTTTTGCGATGTCGATGCACCTGGAAAAGAAACAAAAGATGATAAAACACTCAAAAAGGAATGCTTAAAAAACATTAAAAAATTCAATAAATAGCTTTATCTGCCATAGACTGAATTCAGATGGATATACTGAATTATAACACACAGTGAAGTATACAAAACCAAAATACACAATAAAAATGAAAAAAATAGTTTAAGGATTTAAAGATTTTACAAAAATTTAAAAGGAAATAATTGCTATTAAAACCATAAAGTAATGAAACAGGAGCTAACTGATACGAAATCCGCATATTATGTAGAAGGTGAAATCGTATGAAAATCATTAGCACAATAGCATACATGCAAATAATGGAAGCCAGTAACACCATCTACAAGCAGGTAAACGGGAAGAACAAATGTTACATTTTTCTTAAATGAACTGTGTTTCCTTCTTGCTTGATTTGATTAGAAATGTCAAGCATATGATGAAATAATGCACAGCAGCACGCCTCTAAATTTGATTGTCAGAGAATAACAGTACATCATGACAGCAGATTAATTGCCAAACACAATGCTCAAAATCCAATTACCGCCATGTAACTTTGCCAGCAATAGGTCCAAGAAATAACTACCGGATAAAGCATCATGCAAGCTCCCAACAGCCTCACCTAATGCCCCGAAAGATATCTTGCAAATCTTGTGCAAACAGTCTGCAACCACATCATGCATCCTAACAAAGGAAATATCATGAGTTGGTGTATCAAGAAATATCTGCATGAATGATGAAATACCATCTTGAGAATTATGGACTTCTTGCATGACAGCCACTGCTTTATCTATTTTTAAGAGCAGCTGTTTGCTGCTCAGTTCTGAGAACACAATGCAAGTGGATATATGAATGGCATGCCACCATTTTCTTAGTCGAATCTAATTAGTACAAATAACACCATGATGGATGAATGCACATATGGCACTTGTACAGAGCACCCATTGGAATTTTGCTTGATCATACTCGGAATCAAGTATTGGGCGAGATTAGATATAAATCTCACTTATATCTATTACATGCACCAGCACTTTGACCAATCAGCAGTAGATTATAGAAGTGTCAAGGCATGAGCTCGATCTGTATCTTTAGAAGCACCCTAGATGCCCCTTACAACAAGAGAATAGGAAAACACATATCACAATATCCACCACACAACTTATCGTTCAGCCTTCACAGGCATTTTCATGAGATGTTTTATCAACTGAATACAACTTATGGATGATGTACAACTTCATGGTCTCGGAAGCAATTTTATACTGCCATGAATACATTTCGATATAATGCCATGAATACATTTCAATATAATGCCATGAATACATTTCAATATAATGCCATGAATACATTTCAATATTTCAATATACTTGTTTGCAAATATGGTGCTTATAGTTTTACAGACATAAAGATACAGACTGGGCTCATGTATGTGACTGCTATTGAAAGAGGGGGGAAAAAACAGAATGAATAGGTTGAGGTTTTTGTCTTTGCCCCTGTATGCTTGTATAACAAGCCATATGACTAGAGTAAGGTGGGAGAACTTTGTGACTAGAGTAAGGTAGCAGAATTTTCCACGGTCAGTATATTTAGTTTTTTCGCTAATAGCTGGTAGCGCTTCAGTTTTCTGGGCTAGGATTAAATGTAAACAATTTAGTGGTTAATTTAACACACTGGAATTACCTGAATTAAATGTCAGGCTAAAATTTAATATTCAAACTAAATTTTAGTTTGACAATACATGTGAATAACAGATAGAAACTTCTTAGAGGTACCAACCTTTAAACTTCAGATAGAGAATAAATTTGAATTTTTTTCTTTGTGTTATTATTATTATTTACATATGTTTTGATAAATATTTAGTAAGTGAAATTCAAAATTTAGCTTGTTTTTTTGTTTTTCTGCTCAAAGAAATTTTTGGACTCTCAGCTACTTTCAGATCGTGCATTTGACTTGGAAGGTATTTGAATTGAATTCAATGCCATGCATAATGGCACAAGTCTTCAGTGGCTTAACTTTTACGATGAATTACAGATATCTGGACTCAAACATGCCAGTGTCTCAAAATTCTCTTTGACTCAGTGCCTCGCTATATAGCAATAGTTAATGCCGCATGATGAGCATATTTGTTAATAATCAAGGCACATTCTGTTTGTCTAATGTACATGAAATTTTTATAATTTCAACTTTGTAGCAGGGCTGTGGAGTCGGAATCGGAGTTAGGCAGATTTTGGGGTAAAAGGAGTCAGAGCTGGAGTCGCTAAAAACAGGTCAACTCGGACTCCAGTTTTTGTTGGACAGTTTAAAATGAAATTAAAGTGAATTGAAAAAAAGTAATGACAAATTGAGTTATTATTTTTTATTTATGGTCTACATGCATTAATAAATAGTTATCTTCTATTTCATTAACATACTAATAAATAAATAAAGGGAGGAAGATGGATGTGATATTTGACATTAGTGATTAAACTGATTTATTTAGTTACTTCATTTAGTCACAAATCTCACTGGTAAATTTAGGTAAAAAGCAAAATTGATGCCATTCTTAGCAAAACGAGCAATTATTAATTAAGACACAATAACACGCCGAATAAATACTAATTCAGAAGACAAACAATAAAAACAAGAACAACAAAATGTTTTGTAAGACAAACAACAACAAAATATTTTGTAAATATAACGCTGATTTTTGTTGTTTGTCTTCTGAATGAGCAATTATTAATCAAGCAACACGATGGGGAAGTACATATTTTATGATATAGAGGTTTTTAGAATTAAGAAGGCTTTAGAAGATGTAAATAACCCTAATAATTCACTAACAGAAAGACTGTGGAATGATCTTTTAGAATTGGAAACTCTTCTTTCTACACTATATATAGCCAGAGAAAAGCTACAATCTGAAGAATAAAGAGGAGGGGAGAATAAAAGAATGTGATGTTTGTTCTTTCTGAAATGGAAAGTTTATCACAGAAGGTTCTTCAATGAAGAAAAGAGAAACTAGTTTGCTAGACAATGAGATCATGCTGGGTTCAACATACATAGATCCAAAACACCGAATTTTGTTGGATGAGGAAAAAATTAAGAAGGCGAAAAAAAAGGAATCTATGAACTTTCAATAAGAATGAAATTATTTTGAGAACAATTGGAGTATTTAAATCAGGACAGTCAAACTGCAGACATTACTACTGAGTCTCTATCATCCTCTTCCAGTGATGAATTACATTTTGAGACATATTTTTAGATAATATCGGAAAGGCTAAGGCAAAGAAAATGAAAATAAAGAACCAAGAGCCTAATATAAGATAGAAATAGATATAAAATGACAGATATAAAAATACATTATAGATATAAAATGATAGATATAAAAATATATAGAAATAAAAATGATATAAAAATGAAAAAATACAAACAAAGATTTCTACACGGCCTTTGAAGAAATAGAGAAATATGATTGCGCTTGCAAGACACCTCTTTTAAGAACTTGTAACATATCTATCCTGAAAAGTTAAAAGAAGTATCCCTAACAATAACAGCTCTTCCTTCTATTGAAGTTAGTGTGGAAAGACTCTTCTCAGCTCAGAAGTTTATCCAATCGGATCTATGGCCCTCCAACAAAGGAAATCTTGCCGAAGCTATACTGTTTCTTAGAAATAACTAATGCCCATTTTTCCATTTCATAATAAATGCTCTTCCACGACAAATCTTTTAGAACTTACAAAAATCTATCATGAAAAGTTAAAAGAAGTAGCCTGAAGAGTAATAACTCTTCCTCCTACTTAAGTCAGTGTGGAAAGATTCTCAGCTCTGAAGTTTATCAAATCGGATCTATGGCCCTCCAACAAAGATCCTGCCGAAGCTATACTGTTTCTTAGAAATAACTAATGCCCATTTTTCCATTTCATAATAAATGCTAATTAATGTAAATAATTTCCTATGCCATCTTTTTTTTTTTTTCCTGTAGCGTCTATTACTTCTTTTATATTAAAAAAAAAAAAAGCCTTAACCCACGTGTATATGTTTACATACATATGAGGGAGTTGGAGTCGGAGTCTTAAAAATTCCAGAAGTCAGAGTCTGTCATTTTCCCTATCGACTCCACAGCCCTGCTTTGTAGTACAAGGAATCTGTAAAATAAATCTAGTAATATAAGATTTTAAATAACAGATTATGTAAGCTACTGCACTCTCAAAAACAACAAGTACAAATTTTTGAAAATTATTTGCATTATAATTTAGATTTAACCAAATACTGCATTACCATTTAAACCTGTAGCTGTTTGAATATCAACACCTCCTAGGCCAACTGAAGGAGTAGTAAGAGTTGAAGGTGTTGTTGAAACAGAAGATAACGATTGTCCAAATGACAATGAAGAGCTAGTAGCTGTATTTCCAAAACCACCTGAAAATCAGAAGATAATTTATTACAAATACTGGAATCAGGCAAGTAAATCTTTCTTTTACATACTGTCTTAGCTAATAATCCTGAATAACATGAAAAAACGGCAGTTTCTTGAAGGTATTACAGCATGCAGTGATGTCATTTCAAAAGAACTCTAAACTGACTTAAATTCAGTTTATAATGCATAACTCAAGTTACCAAACTATTTCTAGTATGATTCTGACATAAAATATATTACTGTTTAATTAGATGCAGAGGCTCATATTTGTTTTTGAACACTTGCATTTTTAATTTTTCTCTGCATATATGAAATGAAAAGAAAAATTGTGTATACTATTCATCATCTATTTTAAAACTTGCTTGTTTTGAAAAATTTTATCAAAATGTTTTTGGTAAATAATAATAATTTAAGATTTATGAAAGTTTCGAAAATCAGTTCACATAAGTATTTGGTTTGAATAAACAGTTTATATTTAATAAAAGCATGGAAAAAACAGGACACTCAATATTTTATTTGACATCTTTTAGCTAAAATGACAAAGCATGGATTCAATTAATTTTTGCATGTAAGAATGTTCCATTCCTATATAAGAATTGCTTTTAGTACAGCTTTCAAAGAAGTATCCTATTTCCTGATTCTTTTAACTCATTCCATAGAGTCAGAAGTATGTATATATATCTCCATATGTGGCAAAGATATAATAACTTCAGGGCAGCTGTATAATAATCAAGCCATTATTTAGGATTGTATTTTGGAATCATTATCACAATACAACTTAAATGTATCTTTTGTTCCAAATTTTCTTGCAGATGCTTTCAGGTTTTCATTATGAGTATTTATATATTTGTAATAATCCATATTAATTCTGATAAATAGTTAATTTCGTATTTTCGTTAACCCTGTAAAGAGGCTGTGGCAAACTTCAGACTGCAAACAGGCCATGACTGCATGGCACATCTTAATAAAATTGCATCCTTCCATCTAGCATATGCCAAATTTGCAATTCGGGCATCATGAATGCAGAGCATCTTCTTATATGCCCAAAACTAGATAAAGAATCCCAGAAACATAGTGAGATAAGTAAACTATATTGGAATGGCAGAACTTTCATGAACTTCTTGTAAAGACTACATCTCTTACGTTCCTTGTTTAAATTTTTAACTTTTTACTTTTATTCCTATGTTCATTTATTCTGATTTTTACTTTAAATATTTGTTCTTTTTTTATTACATCGTTCTTGTATGATACTTGAGCTGTTTTATATGTTTGGATTGATCTTTCCAATAAAGCCATATGTAACAACATATTTGTAATAATCCATATTGTTTTTGATAAAGAGTTAATTCCGTATTCCAAAGGCAGTGAAACATCCTCAACCATAATGGTCCTCAAACCATTATGTCTTTACCACCATCATAACTTTAGCCAACAGTTTTTTTAAAAAAAAAAAAAATTCAGTTCTTAATTTGGAATTTCCTCTATTGAACCAAAATATATTAAGTTTAGACTGATACAGTCAAAAGTCTTTAATCCAGACTCGTTGGGACTTCGGCGATTCCGGATTATCGATTTTTCCGGATTATAGATCATCAGTTTAAATCTGGTAAGATGGCATACAGAAATTATAAAATTAAAAATATGAAACCGTAATTTATAAAATAATGAGCAATTATGATCTAAAGGGTATCAAAATTTACAAAAAAAGAAGCTTAATATTTATTTGTTTACTTTATTACATTACTTTATTATACATTACGCATAGCCGAAATTAGAAAATTGCAACCAGAAAACTATTTGATTTGTATTCGTGATATTTATAATGACGAGGAATTTGATTTAAATCATATCAAATACGGAGTACATCGTGATGAAATACTACATTTAGTAAGGAATTATAAGCCGAATAAAATAAAAACATCTGCCCTGAAGATAACGATAGTGCTGACAGATGAACTTCCAGTTCATTGCGCGCCGCGACGTCCCCGCCCCCCCGACGCAGAGCAGCTTGAAATTGATAAACAGATTTCGGAACGGATAAACAAAGGATATGCCTTTATCCATTTTTTGTAGCAATTCCACTTTTTGTTTGATGGACATCGAAACATACTTTCGTTTTCTAGATCCTTTGGGAGCTTTTATTAAAATTTTAGCTTTGAGGTCCGGATTATAGATCATTCCGGATTATGGGTGTCCGAATTAACGACTTTTGACTGTATAACCTTGTTCCAATGTGATAAAACTTTGCTTAATTTAGATTCTGCAAACTCCATATTTTTCTTGTTTCCTTCTCGGTGATCATCCACTGCATTCATGTGCCCTAAATGACTCTTCTGAAAGCTTCAAGGTTACATGTTACTGCAAAATAAAAGGTAACCTTGAAAATTTTAGAAGAGTCATTTAGGGCATATGAATGCAGTGGATGATCATCGAGAAGAAAATTCTTGATTAAGAAGGAAACTTTATTTTAAACTTTTACCTTTTACTGAAAATCTGCTAAATGTTTTACAACACTATTTTTGTGGTCTTGTTTGATTTTTCATTGAATAAATTTGTGATTCTTTGGTGTTAGCTTAAAAAGGGTCCAGACCTCAGTCGATTTTCAAGTATTCCACAGATGCTCATCATTTTATTACATTGAAGATAGTTGATGCTCGATATCAATGATTTTTTGGACATTTTAAATACTTGTACCATCTCTAGAAATATGAATTACTAAATTTCTAACAGAACCTGACCTTAATCGGATATGGAACTGTTGTTATATTTTGCTTTGCATGTAAAAATTTCCATATGCAGATGATAATTCTTGGGATGTATTTACATTTAAAATGCATAATTATGACAAGAAACACTCAAAATATTTCAATAAAAATTGGAGCGTGCAAATTATTATGTGAAATACCGATTAACACTTTTTAAACAAACTATTTTATTACACGAAATATTTTGATAATATTTTTTTTCCCAACAAGCAAGACTCAAAATCGAGAAAAAATAATAGCTTAGGAAAAAATCTGAAGTTTATATTTTAGCATTTGAGTAACAAGATCTAATAATACAAGAGATCTAATAACAAACAAGCAAATAAATTTCAAAAACACAAGTGTCAGAAAACTAATGTCAGCCACTGTATTTGAAATTTTCTGTTCTTTCACTAATTACATTTGCACTCTTCTATTATATACAGAAAATCTTGAATAAGGAAGAAAAACGTTTATTTATCAAAATACTTTTAAATATAATGGAGATAAAATCAAAAATAACTGCATATATTATTTTGCATATAAACAAAGAAATGCAACATTTATTGATTTGTACCAATTACAGATATTTAAATTTTTCAGTATTTACGTTTAGAAAACTGGTTTTTAGAAAGCTGTTCTTGCAGACAAAATTAAAACTGCCTGCGGATTATGTCTCACACTCTAAATTAAGATTTTATGAAATGAATATTAAATGTAATGTATTTCCTTTTATTTAAACCTCAACTGCATTTAACGCTTGGGCATTATGTCGCACCTACTTGCTCCTCAAGAATTCTATTACTTCACTTTGAATTGTATCTGATGATATATATATATTACCGCTTTCACATCATCAACTGACATTCTCGACTTCACGTTTGGAGGTAAGCTGTTCAAGGTTCCCGTTATTTAAATTTAAAAAAATTCTGTAATATCTTCTTGCATTCATAAGCAAATTGTGTAAATAAATTCTAACACTGATATGAAAAATTTGCATCTTACTTTATGAAGACATACTTTATGATGAATGTTGTTTGTTTTATCAATCATTCTAATGTGGATGTAGTATAAAACACTAAAGATGTAAAACAAAATTAAGAACAAGTATTACAAGTATTAAGCACTGGTTGAATCTTAAATAAAAAAATCTGCACCCGTTTATAGTAGATTAGGAAAATTCAGATTAATTAGAAATTGGTGATAATTTAGTACTATGATCTTTTAGTTAATTATTTATTTTTTAGTTGATGGCACTAATATTGGTTGTTATCTTAATTATTCCTTTTCCCCTTCATTTTATCAAACATTCAAATTTAAAAATGGCATTTTAGTGGTGCCATCTAAGAAATAACTAAAATGCATAGATTGCATACTACATGACTGCCTAAAATTTATATTACAAAATTATGCTGAAAATCAATAGCGGTGAGGGGACTGGAATTTCTCCAATTTAAGTTACATTAATTCAATGCATCTGATATACTGTTGTGAAATATTTTCTTTAGTAAAGGCTAAAAATTAAAAACCAGGAGATATGAAATAATATATCTTACCAAAAGAAAATCCACCAGGAGCTGCAGAACTAACAGAAGTTTGACCTAGAGTTGGAAAAGCCGAACTTGTAGTTGTTGCAGTGGGGAACAACGAAGATGAAAAAGAAGGAGCTGTTTGTGTGGCTCCAAATAAACTAGTAGTTGTGGTAGTTGCAGCAGTTCCTCCTAAAATACCACCACCAAATGGAGCAGTTGACCCTAATAAAAAGAGTAATATAAATGATATAAACAAAATATCAACAAGTAATAAACTAGAGATAATATAAAAAGCTAACAATAAAGATCAGAAATTATATTCTGATTTTACACATTTAAAACTGATAACATATAAAATGAGTTTTTTATTAAGCTATTAAAAAAACACACATAATTAAAATGAAGCTCATGGAATATGATTATCTTTTATTCACAAGTTGCAGTTTTTACTTTGCTTGAATTTTTACTCTCAATCCAAACACATCACCATTATTTCAATATGTTTATTAAAACAACTATAAATATGCATTCATCCTTCATTATTAAATTTAATACCATCCTTCATTATACTGTAAGAACTAATCCAACTTGATGCCAGTTTTCGAATACCAAGGCAAAAAGTATCTTAAATCCCATGAGGAAATCTAAAGGATTACCAAGATTGGATGATAACTTAATCCTGTATTCTTTCTCCTAACAACCCTTGCCCAAACAAATATGAAGCAGTAGCACTGTCAGCGAAAAGTTATTCTACAGTTGAACAAGAGCTGTGTTTTTGTGGTCAAAATTGTGTATGTTTACTTCTAGTTCCAAGAAGTTTGGAAATCTGAAACTGACTTCAGGCGAATAAAGATCTAAAAAATTTACCAGTATAGTTAATTACAGTACAGTTTATAAGCCACCCTATGCCCTGATTATAAATTAGGAGCCTGTACTTCATTCAGAACTACTGCTTTGTGAAGGCTAAATAAATTAGACATTAGAAATATGAAAATGCAAGCTTAGATAATGGCTAAAAGCTGCCAAAGCTACTCCAGATGTTTGTTAAAACATACAGTGAATCCTGCCCATATGAGATAGTGGTTAATGATGATGACTACCAAAAGGCTGGAGTTCGAATCCTGGAAAAGATTTGTTAGTTTATAGTGTCTGTGTGGCAAAGAGCCACTTAAATACACAGTCAGCCTATATCTCATCTCGAGAGGTTGTGTTAGAGGAGGAGGAGTGGAAGACCCTCAGACTACTCCCTGGGGTGTTCTTTCTTGGAATTCCAAAACTGGGGTAGAAATTTAACAGTGAGCTAGCCTCAATTACCTATAGTACTACAGAGTTAGCTTCTACCCATACAGCTGTATGGAGATGGTGCTGTTATTAAAAGACTTCAATGAAATGATTTTCAGGTTTAGATCTTTCATGTACAAGGGGATATATATATCCTACACATTACTCCTCTTATTTCAGTTGGATAAATAGGCCTTAACTTTTTATTTTATATAATGGCATTTCAAGAACACTTTTCTTGGAATGAAAATGAATTTTTAATTTGCACACCAATGTGTTAATTTAATATTGTGTTAACTGTTCGACTGAAATAAGCAAGCAAACAAATATTGCAACAAGTAAAAATACTAATATTGAACTATTGTGTACTTGTAGTGAAAGTGGATTTTTAAATGGGTTATATATCTGATGCACTGATATTTTTCAACGTAAGAAAGAGAAAATTGACTCGCACTGAACTTGAATCTTTAGTTGTCAATTTGGATGAAGCAGAATCACCTGCATATGAATTAGCTGAATGTGATTCTTCATTAACTGGGTCTGAAAGGGTTAAGGAAAAGTAATTTGATCATTTTCCAATTTTTAGAAGACTTACTAAGTTCAGTGAGGATCGTGTTAACAAATTTAAACACGAATATCCTGGGCTAACTGTAAAAAAGGCTTGTTAGAATGGTTATTCTCATGATAATCCATCACTAATCTTTTAACTAATAATCTGGTTCAGAAAATTCACTGCATATACAAAAGAAGAAAACAAAAGAGAACCACAAATGCTCCAAAACCTTTACCAGTTTACTCACTCAATACTATGATACTTGTGGACAAAAACAAAGATTTATTTATTGCATTACCACTGGATGATGAAAATGGTTATAAGGTATTTCTCCCGCCTTCTTAACCAGCCTTCGTGGTGTAGTCTGCATGCTCAGAGCGTGATTGAGAGGTCCGTGGTTTGATTCCCGGTGAAGGCATTGCTAATTTTTCATCTTTCCTGCTACAAAAAAATACCTAATATCTCTACATGGTATCTTTGTGTCGTACAAAGTGGAGAAAAAAAGATCAAGTACTCAAAAGTTGACATTTCAAGCCAAAGCAGAGTTACATTCATGCAGGAAAATCATGTGTATTTTGTGGGATTGCGAAGGTGCAGTCCTCTAAGAAATATTTGGATGATAATAATATACTCCTTGCACAGCTTTACTTTCAGCAAGTGCATTGATTCAACATGGCAATCTACATGAACGATACGACTGATGACACAGTATGCTTCTTCAATACAACATTCTCTCATGTTAAAAATTCTCTGATACTCGAAATTTACTGGAAAGTTCTACTGAGTCCTATTGTCTGCTCTAGTATCTACATAGTTTCATTTTAATCAATTGTTCTCCGACAGTCAACAAAGCATTTTATTCAGTAACAGACCGTATCTAAAAACACGGTTTAATACATCCTTTAAATCAACATTCAGTGAATTTTGTTGTTCAGGTACTGACAATTTAGTAGAACACTGACAAAAAATTGTTAGCAATGAAGGACTATATATTATTGATCAATTTGTTAATAGTTTGCATGAAAATTAACTTCAGAAAATAACTTAAGAAAACACGAGTTAATTTATGTGACAACACAACCAATTAACTGGTTCTAGGAGTTGAATTTATCCATGTAAAATAAAAAATAAACACGGTTACTCAAGAAGGTTGAACACTGCTATTATATTCAGCAGTACAGAAAGGAGACTGCTGAAGACAGAATTTACTGTTTGGTGTGCAGCTAAGTATTTGATTCTCGTCTGATGCTGTTCATGTAATTAAATTGCATAGTATACAAAATTAGACAGTTTTAATTTTGCTTCATGTCTATTTTTTTTTCCCTGTGTTTGTTAATTTTGATAAGAAAACCTAAAAACATCTATGTGTTTTAGTAGGATGGCATATTTCAAAAATGTGGGAGTTCAATGTAGGGGGTTAAAATAATAATAAAAATTAATATATAATAATAAATTTAAATATATAATTATATCAAAATAGAGTTAATTTATATGGATTGTACAATTTGTTTTGTTATTGCAAAATCATTTATGAAGAAATATTGCTAGCCAAGCAACAAAACTGCAAACTGTTGCTGTTATTGCACAACTGAAATAAGGGTTAGTCTATATTTTAGGGTACTTCCTTGGATTATCACCAAGTTGTCTCATTTATGGTAACCTGAGTACTTGAATGTTATGGAAACCCTATTATGAAGTGATTGTGGTGAATTTGACTGATGGGAAAATATTTGTAAGGACTTATTTATGTGTTGGATGTTGGTTAGGAAATACACTGCTCGACATTGAAAATGCAACACCAAGAAGGAGTAGTCAGAAAGTGATGAAATTTGAAAAAAAGACAGAGACAGCAAGCAGCAATAAGTGACCTTTATTTCAAAATGATAGTCAGAATACAGAGCAAGAACGGTGTCGGCTCAGTAGGATGTAGGACCACCGCAGACAGCGATGCACGAAGAAACACGTTTAGGCATAGAGTCAATAAGAGTGCTGATGATGTCCTGAGGGATGGCTCTCCATTCCCTTTCAACCATTTGCCACAGTTCGTCTTCTGAACGAGGCAGGGGCAGAGCCTGCAAATGGCGTCCAATCACATCCCACATATGTTCGATTGGTGACAGGTAAGGAGAATACGGTGGCCAGAGAAGCATTTGTATACCTTGCACAGCATGTTGGCAGATGTGAGCACTGTGTGGTCGGGCGTTATCCTGCTGAAAAATTGCATTAGGCAGCCCCTGAAGGTAGGGGATTGCAATTGGCCGCAATACATTATCCAAGTATCATTGGGCCATCATAGTGCCCTGAATATGAACTAGAAGTGACCTGGAATCGTAGGCAATAGTGCCCCAAACCATTATGCCACGTTGTCGTGTGGTCGGGTGGTTCCACAGTTACTGCCAGATTAGATCTGTCTCTACGTCGACTGTCACTAGATAAACAGAAGCGTGACTCATCTGAGAACACAATGTTTATGCTGTGGGGTCAATGGCAATCTTCTTAACGGATGCTGCGAGTGCAAACCACATTCAACCAATCGACGGGAAATGGTTCTGGTCGACACAGGAACATCCAGGGTATCTTGCATGCTGTAGAATCGCGATACAAGTGACTTGCGGGACCGCCACAGCTTGTCGGCGGGCGTCGATCCATGCGTGCTGACGTCACTCTGGCTGCACCTGCACCCCTCCTTCTTCCCACATTTCCTTGTTCCAACCATGTTCGCCATAGCCGATGCACCATGCTCGCATCCACGTGGGTATCAGCTGCAATTTGACGTAAGGACCAACCCGGCCTTCTCAGTCCGATCGCCATACCTCTCGTAAAATCGTCTATCTGCTGGAAGTGCCTTCGTTGATGGCGGCCTGGCATTCTCTCCTATTACACGTATCCTCCGGGACAAAAAAACCAACTTTCTTCCATAATTCGTCTGGCAGAAATAACAACATGAATATTGCTCATTCTGCGTGTTTCTTCCCTTATATTTTACTTCACGTGCATTGGAGAGCTGCACATTTCACATCATTCGCATAACTCAGTGACATGCGTCTACTCTAAAATTTGCATTAATTTCTGACCACTCCTTCTTGGTGTTGCATTTTCAATGTCGAGCAGTGTACATTGCCTATTTTATGCTCTACACCATGAAATGGCTCTATGTGATAAGATTAATCTGTTGTTTCTGTACACTTCAGAATGACTGGGAAAGAAAACATTGATTGACTGGTGTGTAAATGAAAATTTAAATGGCTTCATTCACCTTGCGATGAATTACGCAGCGAGATTTCAGAATTTGGAAAGCGGGGCTTATATCAACGCTATGAAAGGTATAGGGACTGTAATAAAAAGGGATTTTCGAAAGAAATGCCATCGACAGTCGGCAGTACGAAGAATATTTTTCATTTTTACTTCTGTGAATTTATGTGGTGGCTGCAGTATGCAGATTCTAGTTTAGATAATTTTAAATTATTTTTGGATGCTGTTAAGGAATTCTGTGTGTCTCACATACTGAAGAAACAGAAATTTTTAAATAAGGTAAATTGATACTTCCTTTTTGTATTGCATAGATTACATAACATGTATTTCTATTCTTATGTTAAATCCTTGTTTGATTTAAAATGCAGTTTATTGAGATTATATATTTTTTATTTTAATTAAGTTTTATTGCATTATGCTTTGGATGCCATTTTACCGGAAAGGGTGTTGGACATGAACCGGAATGGCACTAAAATATCAGCAAGGGGTAGCCTGAAATATATTTTTATCGAAATAAGTTTTGACACACAACGGTTCAAATGAAATTATTTTCTTTGTTTATAGCTTTTAACTTAACACGAATAATGCATATTATGTTTGCAACTTGTAATACCAATTCATGAATGAGAAGTTTACCTACGAACAGAGATTATGGATGTTAAATGTAGCAAGTCATGGTTGGACACAGCATATGAAGAATCAGATGTTTGTAGCGTCTGTTCAATCAAAATCAATTCATCTAGTGATGCAATGTTGTCTAGAAGTCACAGTTTTTGTCGAAACTTGAATTGTACATCTCATACCTAGCTAAAATATTGAAGTTAAAATAAGAAATTTTAAGAAAATTATTCAAAACAGTTATAAGTGCTGTCCAAATATCTCAGATTTCATTATTTGAACAGTGGGCACTTTATATTGCTTTACAAATATTTGCTGCTCACATCTAGGGTCAATATTTACATAAAAACTCCTTTTGAGCCTCCTGCATAATAAATAATGGTACAACTCTTATATATGCTCCCAAGATGCAAAATGTGTTCGGCACTGGTTTTTGGTGCGAATGTGTGTTCTGCCATGGTTTTCGGCACGATGTTGTTTGTATGGCAACCCTTTTGATGTTGAAACTTGATTGGCTGTAGTGGTTTTATTTGCTGCTTGGTTGGTTGGTTTACTGGTTGGCTGGAAACTCGGATGCAGTGTATTAAAGAGTGGATTGAGACTGGTGCAACTATTTTTTGGATGGCTGGAAATCCTACAAGGATTTAGGAAAAGAAGGTTTTGAACATTTATTTGTGAATCATAGTATCAATTTTGTGGATAACAAGTCTGGCTGTCATATATTAATACGACACAGAGTACATGGTGGCATGTTAAAGCTTCGTAGCCTACTTATAATTGGAAATGCGATTTTGAGTTTTATTTGGCGGTTTACATTGTTACGTTTTTCTTCTTCTTTACGTTCGTAAGGGGTTTGTGCAGATTTGGATAGAATAACGAGAACAGCACTTGATGAAGTATAGAAATACACTTTATTGGCCAATGTTATTCAAAGCAGCTCCAATAACTTGTTTACACAGTCGTCGAAGAGCTATAATAAATACGCTGAGATGATCAGCAACATAGCCTTCACACTAAGAGGCTATAGCGGTGAAGACAGCTTCACTGCAAAGCACCAGAGTACAGCTCCTGACTCTGCTTGGTCGTTCTCGGAACTCTCGAGACTCTCCACGCTACAACTCGCAATGCACTCAACGATACACAAGAGTACACCTTCAGACTCCTCAATTCAGTTGTTCTCAGAGCTCAACACACTCTCTCAATGATGTACTAAGAGACTTTTTCGGTGCACTCGACGACCAATTCGCTGACTGACTATCAACTCGTTTGCATGGACTAACTCGCAGACTCTCCATGTACCAGCAGGGTTTATATAGCTTTTGGCTTGTGTTGGAGAACATTCTGGGCTAAACTGGTTCTGTTCCAGAAGGTTCTCCATCTGTCCATGGCATATCGCCAAACGGGCGATTTCCCACCAAATGTGGCAACCCTGCCTTCCCTTCCCATTTTATGGTAACCATGAAACTGCTTTGCAGGGAAGCTATCGTACCGCTTCTCAACATTTCATAATAATATGTTTTTCTATTACTGTTCTGAAACGGGAGAAGATCCTTTCAACAAATCTGTAGAAATTGTACGAACTGTTGAGTGGAATAAATTGAAAATTTGTAGAATATTTGATGAAAGCATTTGTTTTTTTGTTTTGAATTGTTCTTTTGCTGATGTTTGAAACTGATATTTCTGCTGTTTGAAGAAGTTTGCACAAAGGTAAATGCATTTTATGTTAGTGTTGTTCTTATTTTGTAGAATGTTATGCTCACTGTTTTTTATGTCGCTATTGTTGTTTTATGAATTGTTTATAATTTATTTTAGTTTATTTTGTTGATTTGTGTACAACGCTGAGGCTGTATGCGATGCCTAGACCGTGCAATTTGCTGGTTTTTTTTTTTTTTTTTTTTTTTTAATGTTAAAACAGAATGCTGTTTACATGGTACTGTTTGAAATTTATTGCTGTTGTGTTAGCTTATTTTAGCTGTAGAGACATTAGGTTAATTGGAAAAGTGAAAAGATGAAAAATTAACAATGCCTTCACCATGAATCGAGCCGCAGATCTCTGGAACAGAAGCTTAGCATATAGACAACCACATCACAAAGACATGCTAAGAAGGCGGGAGAAATACCTTATATACTCCCCTTTTTTTAAAGGGTTACTGGGGTTTTTAGGGGATCCAATCGCCAAATCCTGGGTGAGGAGAATCATCACCCAACACCCTTTTCAGTTCGGGCGCCACTGTAGAGACAGGTTAATTGGAAAAGCCAGAGAGATGAAAAATTAACAATGCCTTCACCAAGAATCGAACCGCGGACCTCTGGAATACTGGCCCAGTGTGCAACACACCACGAAGGAGGGAGAAATACCTTATATAGCGAAGTGTGTGTAATTCCTAGATTCCTTTATTGCACAGATTGTGCAATTCTCTGATGTATTTTTAAGTTAAAACAGATTGCTGTGAACATGGATTTTTGTCAAATATTTTTAGTTAGCAACTTTACGTTTCTGCTATCTAAAGTTTTTGTTTTGGATTTTTGGTGTAAATAGTGTATTAAAAATGTGGTTTTTGCATACACAAAAACCGCGTTTTTGCAGTCATTTTAGGCTTAAAGTTCGAAATGCAGACAAAAAATTTAGATAGTAGTATGGCGCCGTGGAGTTTCACGGCAAAAACATTTGGCGATAAATTTGTCTTCAACCGAGGGTGTACATAAGAGTAGTTCCTAAATAACGATGGTGATTTTAAATTGGTCAAATATTTAGATAGTGCAAGATTTTATTGTTTAATGTAGAGTAATAATGAAAATTTATGATTACACATTACCTAATGGATTTGTGCCAATTGTAGGTTGGGTAGCAGTGGCAGTACTGAAAGAAAAAATAATTTATATTAATACATATTCGGAACCATAATTTTGCTACTCATTCAAAAATATGAAAAAATGCTTAAAAAGACTCTTAATTTTTTTTTTTTAACTACATGATTTTGAAAGCATAAACTTTATTGCAGATAATGGACATTACAGGTTACTTATTTTTTAATAAAATGAAAGATTATATATATTAATTATTAATAATTTATGGTATTTAGAACTCTATTCATTGAATTAATATGGGGATAAACATTAAAATGTGAAGTCCTTTTATATACCCTTTCTCTGCTTGGTATTAACCTCAGCATCCAAAAGGGAAAAACATAGAGTTCATCCCATTTTGTTATGTTGAAAAGAAAAGCAAATAAAAGAAAATGTACACACATATTGTACATAACTGCTAATATTTAATATGACCTTTTGCCATTTACCTTATAATAGATTAATCCTTCATCAATAAAAATGGTATTCCTCAGCCACATCGTGTTCTTCATTATATATCATAAAGCTGTATAATATAGCTGTATAAAAGCTATATAATGAAGGAATAAAAGGTGTAGGTTTACTAGATTGACCTATCAGCATCAGTTTCAAAGTAAAACATTATACTGGAATTTATTCAACAATGTGTTGAATATGGATGTTGCTGCTGGATAGATTTTGCATACATATACAAACACAGCTCAAGTACAGTAGCATTTCAACTTTCGAAGAGAAGAAACTTTAAATTTGCTTCGAATGAAACCAAAAAATCATAGCCTTCCTGGACCTTAGATACATCAGTCATAATGATTACAAAAATCTAATGCACATTATCTTGTACCAAATTATCTAAAAAACATTTGTTAAGATTATTATGGTACTTTTCCATTTTACCGGCAGAAGCGATAAAGTCGCCATAAATGGTACAACCAATGCCAAACGAAATATCCTTTCTGGTAACCTTTTACGCCTCATTTTCAAAACAAGTTGCAGCCATTTCTTATAAGATTGATTGTTTCTCCCAATACTGGCATACAATTACATAGAATTTTACCAGATAGTTCAATGTTATGACCTAAGGCAGCGCTGTCCAACTTATCACAGCCCGCAAGCCATATTTTCTTCAACAAACATTTCGGGGGCCAAGAAGGTTGATAAATGAAAAGCCAGTTTATGTTAATTAAAAAAATATTTTATTTATACTAAAATGAAAACTTTAACGCTTGCAGATATATGTACTTCCGAACACTGGATACTTATCTAAAAATTTGAATATTTCTATTCCAGTTACTCCACGAGATGTAAAAAATGGGTCAGCCTGCAGGTCGCATATTCTATTGATATTAAGATCAACAGAGTTGATTTATCTTAATTGGATCACAAAATAAATCAATAGATGTTTAAGATCATCAAGAGAAAAAACCTTGCATTGAAATCTGTAATTAGCATATCCCAATTTTGGTAGAAATTTTTTAAATTTGCTTCTATATTACATTCCTTCATAGATCTCTTTAAATTATTTTGCTCCAAATTAAACATTACACCCTTTAATGGTTTCTAAATCCAGTAATTTTATAAAGGCAACACACATTTTTGATCTTGTCCTTGCAAGGATTTATTCAAACTATTTAAATAATTTGTAATGTCGGTTAGGAAAGCAAGTGATTAAATAAAATTTTTATCAACTAAATTTGCTGTTAAATTTTCATCGATGGCAATTTCTGTGAGAAAAAGATGAACTTCTTTTCGAAGTGTAAAGAATCTCCTCAAGCACTTTCCAGCACTTAACCAACGAGCATTACTATGTAAAAGCAGATCTCAGTTTCCAATTCATCCAAAAATGTTTTAAATTTTCGGTGTGTAAGAAAATGATTTCTGCCGCAAATTAAATTAGTAATTTTGCAAACCTTGTCCATTACGTCTTTTAACTGTAGGAATAAACCACATAATGCCACTTGATGGATAATAGCGTAACATATGACATGTTATTTCTTCTTTTTGCAAAAGTTCCGCGAGCCCAATATTTTTGCCCGTCATAGCTCTAGCACCGTTGGTTGCAATAGCAGTGCAATTTTCAAATCCGCCATCCTGCTCTAATGTAATTGCTTGTAAATATCTTCACCTTTTGTTGTTCCGTATAATGATTGTAATTTTAAAAGTTCTTCCGAATAATTATAGTTTTCATTTACAGTTTTTATAAAGATAAGCTTTTGACTTGCATCGGAAATGTCTGTGCTTTCATCCAATGCTACCGAAAAATAGCAGCAACTATTGATTAGGTTTTCTAATTTACTAGTGACATGCATGCTAATCTCGTTTACATGTCAGTTTAGAGCAGTCCTTCTCAAAGTGGGTGATAACACCCCCTTGCGGGCGTTAAGGGGCCCAGAAAAAAATGGGGGGCGTTGATGTGGGTTAGGGGGGCGATGGTAGATTTGTAATTTGATTTACTTTATATTTTAAATTTCACTAGAATTAAAACCTACCTACTACACAATAACGAATACTTAGTTTATATTTCTACCCTGTATGATTGTATAGAAACTTAAAATACTTAACATAGATTTTCGTAGGATAGCCCGTACACGCCGTATGCGCGTACGTTGTAAAATGACGAAAAGCATACAGCTGTGTAAATGCATGAATCGCCAAATGTGGCAAACATTCCGGGGGAAAAAGACTAACTGCGGGAGCCGGTGCACTTATGATATTGTGCTCCGTAGACGTACTGTCCGTTTTCGTATGGAGAAACCTTCAGCGCTTTTACACATGCGTCAGGTCTGCTTCGAGTACATCAAAATAGGGTTGAGACAAAAGAGAAATGTTTACTTAACCATGCGTGCTTCCGATCTAAAACCGGTCTGAGGAAAAAGTCCATCTCAGCGAATTCGCCCCTTTTCAGAATAGAATCGTCGACAGGTGGCGGTTTTGCAATAGTTTAAAAACGGACTGTACGTGGTATCAATCGGCTGGTTCATCGATACTTGTCCTAACTTGCTCAGTACAATTGAGCGTCGAAAGAGATAAACGAGTTTGTGCATGTTTGTCTTATACCTGTCGGTGCTTGCTGTATTTAAATTCTACATAAAAGCTCATAATTTTTCTTATATTTTCATTAGTGGTTTCGCGCACTTCTTTAAACGAATATTTAAGTCAACACTTATTTACATATTTTTGAAAAAAAAAAAAAAAAGCCACGTCGCAAGCAAAAAAGAAGAAACGCAATACAGTGCAGAATATATTAAATATGGATCGTAGAAAATTCGACAAACCCATCTTTGCCTTTGTGCTTCTTCGTTCAAAAACATTTTCAAACGAAGCGATGAAAGTTTAAGACTTCAAGATCATTTAATAAAAGGCATCCAGATAAGAAGGACAAAAATTGTAGCCTATTTTCAAGATCTGGAAAAGAAGCATAATGCTCAGCCAAGTGTATCAAAACTTTTTTCGATGGCTCTAAGGCAGACGATGATGGACTTCGAGCTTCATACATATCTCTCGTTAATTGCTCAACAGGTAAACACACACCATCGGAGAAACGTTATTTTGCCGGCGATAAAAGAAGTTAGATAACTACTGTGCTCCATAAACCGGCGGCAGATATAATTCGAAAAATTCCTTTGAGCAATAATTCTGTGCAAAGACAAATTGATGAAATGGCTGAAAACATTGAAGAGTCATTGTGCAATCATCTGAAGACTAGTCAATTTTTCAATTCAGTTGGATGAGTCCACTTTACCAACTAATGAAGCATTTTTCGTGTCTTACGTGAGGTTCATTAAAGATGAAAAATATGTCAAGACTTTTATTTGCTAGAAATTTAGAGACAGACACAAAAGGAGAACCATATTTAAATTAAAACACTGGAAAAGTTTTGTGATGAAAAAGGAATTCCCTTGAAGAATATTATATCAGCTGCTACAGATGGTGCTCCAGCTATGACAGGGTCTCAAAAAGGCTTCATGTCGTACTTAAAAAACAAAATTCCTGATGTGATTGCTGTACATTGCGTATACATCGACAGCATTTTAGTTGCTAGAAATTTAAGTGAACGACTGTTTCAATCATTGCAACATGTCATCAGAACAGTCAATAAAATCCGAAACAACTCTTTAAATGACAGATTATTTAATCAGCTTTGTGTTGCTAATGATGAAGATTTCAACAGATTGATCTTTCACACAGAAGTGCGTTGGCTATCAAAAGGAAATTGACTCGTTTTTACGATCTGTTTGACTCTGTCATAGAGTTCTTGGAAAACAAAGACACAGCCATTGCGCGAAAACCCTCATCACATCAAAGAATGATATTCGCATACCTGACAGACCTTTATACATTGTTTAATTGATATGAATCTCCAACTTCAAGGCGATGACTTGAACTTAATAAAAACAAAAAATATCATCGCTGCTTTCGTAGCCAAGCTGTTCTTACACAAGAAGAATATCTCGGCAGACGTGAGTTCCATAATTTTCCCAATTTATCAGTATCTGCAACAAACGACGACGACTTGCTCGTCTACTGCCAACATTTGGAAAATCTTCACAGTGATTTCATTGAAAGATTCCAGGACATTTTGAAATTGGAAATACCAGACTGGATGTTAGATCCTTTTTCAAAAGTCAACATAGCAATATCACCCCAGCTGGAAGAAGAACTTATAGAACTGACAACGAACGAGGAAATAAAAAGCAAATTTAAAAAATGGCTACCAACAATTTTGGCTACAAAAGTCAATTCCGCAGTTGTACCCTGGATTGTGGTCGATCGTTCAACAATTTTGATATCATTCCCATCGTCATATTTGTGTGAACATGGATTTAGCGCTGTGACAAACGCTGCTTACTAAAAAGAGAAATCATTTGCAAGTTACCAAACGCGGCGACTTCATGACTGTTTTGAGTAAAATTGAACCTGATATCAAACAAACTTGTTAAAAATCATCAAATTCATCCATTCCATTAGATTAGTTTAAAAACTAAAATTGATTACCTATCTATATTGTTTCTTTAA